ATTGGATAGACGAGAAGCTGTGGCCATTGTCAAGCTACATCTCTGTACATTCGGAGAGTGGAAAGCTCTATGCTCTGCAGTCCTTGGACTATGAGGAGTTGAAACTGTTGGAGTTCCAGGTGAGAGCCAAGGATGCTGGAATGCCCTCCTTGTGTGGCAATGCGACTGTTCAGGTCTTTGTGCTGGATGAGAACGACAACACACCTGTTGTGTCAGGATCATCTGAAGAGAACCTGGTTCTTCTAGTGGTCCCTGTGATGCCTGGGCATATTGTAGGCAAGATCCATGCCTTGGATGCGGATTCTGGCTACAATGCGTGGCTCAGGTACGAACTGGCTGAAGAAAGCAGCGGTCCATGGTCTGTGGGCCCGTATAGTGGTGAGGTGAGTACCAAATATCCTCTGGATGAATCAGAAGGAGGCAAAATCCAGAGTATTGTGGTTCTTGTGAAGGACCATGGGAAGCCTCAGCTCTCCGCCACAGCCATCCTGAGTGTGTCACTGGTGACAAGTGGTCAGACAATCAAAGCGGATGTTCAACTCTCCAAGTCAGGGGAGAGCTTCGTGTCTCTGGTGAATTCAGTCAACATCTATTTGATCATTGCCATCTGCTCTGTTTCCAGCCTGTTCCTGCTGGCTGTTTTTGTTTATATGGCTCTACGATGTCAGTCCAAGGCAAAGGAATCCATGGTTTATGGCCCTGGCATGGCCACCCTGGTCTGTGCCAGTGAAGTGGGCAGCTGGTCCTATTCCAATCGCCACAGCCACATCCTGGCAGGGGTGAGCGCAGAGGCTGGTGTCAGGAATGATCTTATGATTTTCAGTCCCAACATTCCTGTTTCTGCAGATAATGGGGAACATAGAAATGGGAGTGAACTGCTTCCAGATACATCTAGAGAGGTAAGTTATCCTGCTTGAAATTCTTTCAACTTGATATTTTCCTACTGCCAATTTTGGAACAGTGTTACTACAATATATGTTCCATAATTTTATCATAGATAATTTTTATAGAAATTCATTGATGAAAATCTGTTAATAGTTTGTTTTCTAACTTAAGTAACTCTTTTACATATGCTTAGTAGTCTTTCTGATTAAATATTTTTGAAATGGGAGTGGCCACAAATAGATCTTAAGTTTTTTTATAGTCAGCCAATTTTTTCTTCTCTTCTACTCCATTAAAAGAAATATATTCATTGTCTGCCTGATTCTTTAGTTTGTAATTCATCTATAAATCTCGAAATGGGAGTCTAGTGCAGTACTGTACTGATTTTCCTTTCGTCGATGCACTGATTCTTTAATGAATGGAATACAAATTTTCAATTATGTTTTTTAAACATATTGTGTTTTTTAAGCACAGTTTGCAAACTTTTAAAAATGATTAAAACATTTGTTGTTGCGTCCTCACTTAGGACTTCCAATTAACCACTCATTTAGCAACCATTCAGAGTTATGATATCACTGAATGAGGAAACTTAACCACTGGTCCTCGTAGTTGTGGCCATCGTAGTAGCATCTCTGCTGTGACTTGATCACATATCTTGCACTTGGCGATGGGCTCTCAGTTATGATGGCTGCAATAACCTGAGGTTGTATGTTTGCTCTTTGTGCTCTTCACTGTTAGCTTCTGACAAAGTCAGTGGGAAAGCTTGCATGAAGTTGCTGACGGCCGCCCCCTGATAACGGCGTGCTTAAGGACTCGGAGGGATTGGCTTAACGGCAGCATCTGGGGCAGCTGCAACTGCTATCATAAGTTGAGGTGACCACGTGTGACACTGTCCTTTTCTGACCATGTAGCTTTTAGTGATGGGGTTGCTTGTCCCAACTACCACTGTTAAGCAAGGACTACCAGTATTGTGAAGTTCCTCACTGGCTGAAAAAAAATGATTCATCAACAACACTCACATTATATATGATGCCTAGACTATCATATTTCTGGAATAAAAGTCATCCAAGATTATGTTGCACAGGAAATAAATTTTTCTTCAATGTAAGTGGCCTTGTTAAAAATAAATGTTTCTTATAAGGGTTATTTAACAGAATAACAGAGTTGAAAGAAACCTTGGAGGTCTGAGTTATGATACTGGATAGAAATTTTGAAATAGACATTTGAGGTTCATCAATCCGAATTCCTCCAAAGCTTTACACTCTATTCCTGTATTAAGCCTTTGCCCCCTCAAGTCCTCTGTGCTGCCTCACCATGCTAGGAAGTTGCTCCTGGGAGAGGAAGTGAAGAATTCCAGCAGTTTATTCCAAGGATATATAATCCCAGCAGGGTCAACAAGGTGTGAAGGTAATCCCATTTGCCCAGCTAAAGCAAGCAGGCTCCCATATGGGGAAACAATGACATAGGAAGGCTAATAATTACTTTAGGCTAATAATTACTTTAGCGATAAAGGCAAAGGCACAATTACATACTGTGGAGGAATATATCACTCTAGTATTCTACCAAAATTACCACATAGATAGAAAATATAAAGTAATAGACAATACAATGCCAGATGCCTCCAATTGAATGTCATTCAACAGGCTACTGAGGAAGAGCTGGGGATCTTTTAGAACATTAATGGTATTTATGACATGACTAGATTAAAGTTTTTAGGATGTCTAATTGCTGACGTTGCTATGCAAGAAAATAAAATCTGAAGCTGTAAAGACAGAATTATAGTGAGCACATGAAACATAGGAGTCATGACTATGGGAAAGTTTAAGATAGTGAAAGATGAAATTAATCAAGTACACATTGACATCTTAGGATCAGATAACTGAAATAGATCAGAACTGGACACTTTCAGTCAGAGGATCATACTATTTACTGCTCAGGACACGAAAGACAAGGAAGGAATCAGGAAGGTTAGAGTAAGAAAAGTACTTGGATAGAAAGCAGTCACAATAACTGAATAATTAGGCTTTGTGGAGAACCTTCTAATATGATCATCCAAGTTTAAGCTGCAGGCACTAGTGCAGAAAAAGAGGAGGTTGATGAATTTTATGGTCATGTTCAGACTGAAATAAAACAATTCTAGTAAGATGTGTTGTTTATAGTTGGGGACTAGAATGTTACAACTGGAAATAATTAAGGAGGGTGATGTAATTGGACTGTGTGGCCTAGGAAACCAAAATGATGCAGGAGAACCACTTTTCAATATCTGCCAATAGAAAGATTTCTTCTTGGCTAACATAGTCTTCTAGCAGTCAAAATGATGCCTATATACATGAATATCATTCCATGGAGAACACAGACAATTGGAAGTTCCAAGTAAAATTCAAGTTCTAAGTAAAAAAGAGACCCAACCAGTTTCCATAATATAATCATAACCTACCATTTCAAGAAGAATATCCAGAATCACTTTGAAATTCTTAACCTCATTCATAAGGAAGCAGAGGAACTGTTTGAATGAAATCAAAGAAGTTGTTAAGGATGAATGTGAAAAGAGACTGCCAAAGACCAAGAAATATGAGAAAATATGGATATCAGAACTCTGGAAATTGCCAAAAAGGGAAGAGAAGTCAAGGGCAAGAAAAACAAAGATGTCAGGAAGGAACTTAACAAGGAATTTCAAAAACATATTAAAAGACACAAGCCATATTACAACAATGTCTGCAAATATATTGTAGATGGAAACAGATATGGAAAAACAGAAAAGTCTTCCAAAAGTTTTTCAAACTCAAAAGAAAGTTCTAACATTGAATTGGTATGCTAAAGGGTACCAATAAATAGCGAGAAATTGATTCACAACAGATCAAACAAAGATGGAAAGAGTCCATTGAAATTCTTGCAAGATAAATGTCTACATCCAAGATAATTAGAAAATATTCTTTACTTCTAAGAATCTCTAGTACTAGAAAATAGATCAGCAATATGTTCATTACAGATTTGGAAGGCTACAGGAATATTTGGAGAGTCTACAGAAATGCAGTAAGCAACAGAAGATGAATCTCTAAAGGTTCTAACAAAAACTATGGCCGCAACTCTGAAGAATGACACAATGGCCAATGTAAAAAAAAAAAAGGAGACTTAATAGAGTGGGTAAACCATCATACAACATCCTTTAATTCACATGTTAGGAAAATCATGTTTAAATAAATCTAATCTGACCCAGACTAGAACCTTAAGTGGAGAGGGAGATGCCAGATGTTCAATATGGCTTTAGAAAAGGCTGAAGAACAAGAGACATTATTGCTGATAAGCTCTGGATAATTGAAAAGCCAAAAAATATCAAAAAGAATATAGAAAAGCCTTCAATTATGTTTAGCTGTGGAATGTGCTTAAGAAAATGAAATCTATATACAGGTCACGAAGCCACAGTCTGGAAGGAGCATGGTGAGACTCACTCCAGATTAGCAAAGAAGTGACACAAACCTGTATATTCTCCCCTATAACCTGCATTATGCTGATAATATTACTTTGACAGCTGAACAGCTGAATGATCTGAAAACTTTAGTAATGAAAATCATATTGAAAAAAATTGACCTACAATTAAAGACCAAACTAATGACATGTACATTAACCAGGCTTGAAGTTGATAATGAAGATTTTTGACCCTGGGAATAGTAGCTTTCATCTTTTAGGACTGACTATTAAGAAAAAGGAATATACAGTGAAAAAATATTCCCTTGCGATAATATGTATCTTAGGAGACAGAACTATAGATTAGACAAAGGTCAGACAAACAGCAATTGAGTTCCCAGAAGCAATGGGGGTATGACAGATGTCTCTCTAGTTTCTTGGATTGTAAAGGCAGGGGGGGGGGAAAATTGTACTTTCCAACTTGCAAGATACGTCATTCTTACAAGGTAAGCCAGATAAGAAGCATTCCCAGAAGTACTAGCTCCAATTTTATTATTAGGATACATTAACAGAATCTTGCAATTGTTGCAAGAAACTTAATGACTAGTGACTTATAATGTCTTCTAGAATCACCTAAAAATTATTTTAGCAATATAACAGTGGTAAGAAATAACATTTTTTAGACTCAACAATAGCTGGGTGATGCTAAAAAAAATGCTGTAACAGGCTAATCAATGGAAAGGACCCAAAATTACTACCTTTAGAAATACAAATTAGTGCAGAAAATTAATTATCTATTTCACCTGTATATATGATTGCATTAGGTAAAACTGCTTCTTGTTCTCCATCTCATTAAGGTGGAGGTTCTGAATGATCACTTGTGAGGTTCAAAAAGGGAGTTAGGTGACTTATCTATGTAACATTTGTCACATTCTTAAGTATTATCAGATACTTGCCTTTGTGCAATATTATTCACAGGATTATGGCAAAAAAATGAGAACATACTTCTAAATTTAGAAAAGTGCCCTCAGTTAAAAGAAATCCTATGTCCAATGGAAGACTGAGCCAGTCAGTTTCTGTCTTGATATCAAAAATATATTTCAGGAATAAAGTCAGTTAAGATATCACATGAGTTTGAGAACTTACCCTGCTTGTCATTTGCCTAAAAGATTCAAGAGCTACATATCCAGCTAAGACTCAGACAGGTAATTCGAAAAGTAATTCTGGTCATAGCCCTCAAAGGAAAAAAGTATCACAGACGCTGAATAAACAATGGAGGTCTGTTTCTCATTTTGAACTGCGGTCACAAGAGGTCGCTGTTTTCTAAGGAAAGCCTCTAAGCGAAACTGAAAATGCAGAGCCCCTCCCTTAAAGGGACCGACATTCCTGCCGGCCAGATCCACCAGGGAAATATCGAAGAACAGAGAAATCTCAACAAGCCAAGATCCAACCTATGAAAGCATTGCCAGTATGGCTGGGCTACGTGGGCTCCGCTCCTGACCCCTTGGAGGCAAGGTATTTAGAGAAAAAGAGAAGGGCTTGCGGGGCTGTGCCTGTGTCTGCGATGCTTACCTGGCCGAAGGGGCTGCTG